AACGCCTGCACGTGACGCGGCCGCGGCACGCCCTGAGTTGCGTGGAGTGCGAGGAACCGCCCAACGCTGCTTGCAGCTTTAATTTTTTTCTAGTTGTTTCATATCAATTCAAACTACCCTTATATATATAATTTAAAAAAAACACACAATTCAATTTAAAAGAAAAAAAAAATGTTTTGTCAAAGGTGCCCGCAAATGTGTGCGATAAGAAGAGAGCAGGTTTTTAGACCTTAATTTGTTGTTTGGCTGCAAATAACAAAGATGAATAATTTTAGCAACATTATAACAATATTTAATATGTATGTGTTAATTGGTAATTGAAACTGGTATTTTACATTGATCACACTTGAGTCAGTTGTGTACTTTACATTAATAGTAAAAACTAGCATGGTGTTTAAGATGTTTTGACCATTTTAAGCAACCACTTGTTTCTGACATTTACCAAAGCTAGATAACCTGTACCCCCACTCTCAGGGCCCCTCTGCTTTATTATCTGACTGTTAGGTTTTATGTTAAAATCATGTTTATTACAATAATGATTTCAGCTGATATTGGTCTTAACATGGTGCGTATTCCTAAATTGATTTGTGTTTAATCAAGTCTCTACTCAACAAACCTGGGGTGATGTATTATTCCATCGAGGAATGGGTGTTAATCGGGGCCTAGCTTCTAATTTTTTTCCCTGGGCCAAATCTGGTTCTGACTGTATGAAAATCATCTTTCAATTTATAATCACAATATTCACTGTTATGGTTTTCGAGTGTCTGAATGTTTATTTTCACTGCATGCTGAAGTCAGTTGGAACCTAGTTGAGGTGTTGACTTGGAACACATGATTGCAGTAAACGGCTGTACTACACCAATATGGTTTTATGGTTGCTGTGTGATGTCTCTGATTAGATTTTTGACATATTTCCTCCCAGTCAGGTGACGAGAGTTGAGAGTCAGAGCTATCATGGAGGACGACTGCAAGCCTCTGCTGAACTCAGAGCAGCCTGTAGAGAGCTACTCACACAGAGGCTCCACAGACTCACTGGACTTCAAGGCTAAAAGGTAGATTTCACTGAAACACTGGACCAATTGATATGCAGTACTTAACAGCTCTGTGACAGAGAATATGATTTTCCTACTGCTGGGCAGTATGATCTAAAATTTGTATCACAGTATTTTTTAAGATTCTGTTGGTTTTCCGCTATACCACAGTATTTTAATTTATTTATTTTTTGGTTTATTCTACTGTCAGGAGTACATAGAATATAGAAAATTTAACTGAAATCTGCAATGTAGTAAAAACAGCTCACGAATAGTTATATAAACACTAAACTCACATAAAACACTCAAAATATGAATATTAAATAAGTTAGTAAGTATTCTCAAATGTTCTATTGCCTGAGTAAGAAACTCACACAGTCACAAATTACTGTGTGCCATGGTGTTTGCCCAATTAGTTGCAGCTTATTCATTATTGTGTTATAAAGTTATAACCCTCAGTAAGAACATAAGTTACAACCAAAATTGCTTATGCATACCAAAACCAACAGTCTTAGTCCAGCTTTCAGTATTATTTGACTTTTCCTACTAATGATGGTTCTCACTATTATACGTGTCTTTTTAAAAGACAGTGAGGCTGACAGCTGTTTTATGTGATAGTTTTAACACTTAATATCATTGTTACTTACCGTACTCTGGGTATTTTCTCTTTAATGTCAGTTCCACCATCCTCTTTCCCCTGAATAATGCCATCTCAAACAGATTTGTTGTGCGAGGAGATGGGTAGAGATAATCTTCTCTGCAAGGACTATGCCTTTTTGTATTTAGTGTGCTTGTTGTGATCCTTTGTCCAGTTATTTTTTCAAGAATTTAATATAATGGGTGCCGGATTTGGCTCACCAATTTTCCAGATTTTTGTGTGTTGATCAAACACCTGTGGAGATGTGAGACGTTCACCATGGCAGCATCAATGACAATGGGAGTATGTCTCAGTGCAGACGAAAGAACAAACATTGTGGAAGTCAAGCTTACTTCACGCTGAGAGCCCAAGCCCACTGTCCTCCACTGCCCAGTATTTTATGTGCTGGAACCAGGATGGATCAGATTTTGGGACATAGAGGATTGCTCTGTCTGAATGGGACTAGCCTTACCCACCAGGTGCTGGATCGAACTGACCTACCATCTGAATCCTGTTTTCTGTGTGGATGGTGCGGATGAGTCCTGCAGTTCCAAACTTGATTTTGATGAACAACAGTAGGTGTAAATTATTGTGAATTCCCAGGGTTCAAGTGTCTTTGAACTCTAACCCACACCTGCTCGCCATGCTGCCTTCCCCAGGAATTCACTTTGGTCATCACCTTGCTGTAAGCATGTTACTGCGGCAAGATGCCAATGCAACATTTAATGAGCTGCATGGTGTTCTGTGCCTGCACCAGACCAGAAACCCAGACCTAGTCATGACTGGGGATTTATCAACACATTTTGTGTCTCATTAAAGGGTAGGACTCTGGACCACTGGGCCTCATACATCTCTCTTCGAGAGGAAGTTAAGATAAAAACTCTTAAAAATTCTCCACTGAAGGAGGGTTACAAGGCTGATTCTCAACATTTGACAAGTCAGATCAAGCTGCCATCTTCCGTATCTAGAACTGTGGTGATGAGAGGTCAGGTGTTGGACTATATGCTGTGTAATGTTGGATATAGAATATTGCAATCCAGCTCTGACAACATCAGTGAATCTGTGGAAGTAGACACAAACCTTATGGCATCGTTGGCCAATGATATCATCCCTACAGTGACTGTACGGTCATCTCTGAAGCAGAGGTCATGGGTTGATGGATCCATCTGCACATCTTCCCATAGTCTGAAATGTGCAGTCAAAGTTGCTAAGTGAAGTCTTTTTTAATTATTACTGTTATTGCATACTGACATTTTAGTACTCCTCCAGAGTATGCCTCTCCCCTGACTGCATATATTGAGAAATATGAAACGTTGAATCTTGATTCTATTTAAGGCTTTGGATAAACAGACAATCAGTGTTCTATTCATTGATGGTTTCAGTCTGCACATGGGATTTGTTGATTTGTAGAAAATATAAAAAGGTATATAAGGTTTGCCTATATAATCCAGTTCAAAAACAAGGAGTGAGACAAAACAGATATATAGACTCGATGTTACACGCTCATACACACAGAAGACACTAACAATTAATACAAACATGTATATAGTTTGTTAGTGAATTACACTGATTGATTTCTTTATCAGAGTTATAGTAAGTACAGGGTTAGTTTGTATGTTTTTTTTATTTATATCTTTATTCAAGACCGTGGTCTTTTAGTTTGAGAACATGACTTGATGATTTCACATGCAGATTTTTCATCCTTTTCCTAAAAGCTCTGCCCTTGCACTCAAAAAGCCCCTGCTTGTGCTCAAACTGTGTGCTTGCATTCATATATATTGTTGCTTGCACAGGTTTTCTGCGCTTGCCCTCACGCTGTTCCTGTGGGCTCTCAAAACTTCTGCTTTTTAGATTTCTGCTCTGCTCTTGATGAATGAATGACTGACAAAATCCTCTAACCAACAGGAAGCCAGCTGAGTTGCCGGCACTTTTGCTTTACTTCTTAGAGTGTCAAGTTTTGGAATGACGGGACAGTTATTATGTATACAAGCTTCCATAGTTTTTGCTATAATAACTAAATACTATTTAATAGTAATCTCCAGCATGCTCTCCATGCCCAGGGGTGGCTCTTAGCCCCCCTGAGCTGAACACAAATTCTGTATCCAGCTTGCGGTGTGTCCCTTTATTCAAAAACATATGTATGTCTATTGTGAGGAGACCTTTGTCTAGGAACTGCACAAGAATTCCATAATACATTGACGCTGTATGAAATGGACCCCCCTGCACCTACTGGACCCCCTGAATGTTTTTCTTTTCTGACAGTGTTTGCTAGATAATAAACATGGCCCATTCTACAAGTTTGGCTTCCTGGAATTCACTTGACAAGCAAATACTAAGACGTTTGCTGTGTGTGTGTGTCTTTGGCACCACCTTAGCATTAACAGTTTGTGTGAATTGTAATCCAGTTAGGTATTTCACAGTGGCCAACTAGCTTTCTAGCACTTAAAGCATTACAAACAGTGTATAATTCAAACGTAGGTATGCATTTAACTACTTTATTGTTCAATTTCTCTATTACTTTTTCATCAGTTGCTTGTCTATAAAAAGCCATCACTAGTTGCCAAAGCCAGATTGACACAGACAGATTGCTTATTTTGTCAAGACCTAAAGATATTCTGTTGAGTATTATATGACACAGAGGAGAGCAGATATTCACATAAGGAATCGGAGAATGTTTGGCATTTTTGTGTGACTTAAACATATAAAGGATTATGAAAATTGTTTGGAGAGATTAAGTATTGCTCGATATCACATGACATTTGTTTGCTTCTTCTAGGCCTTTTCACGTAGAGCCAAAAAACATCGTAGAAGATGACCCGCAGGAGAGAGTCTCTGCGGAGGCTGCCATCCTCAACAGCAGAGTCCATTACTACAGCAGATTGACAGGCTCATCTGACAGGCTGCTAGTAGGTCCAATCACTAATTAGTTAGTTGTTACAACCATGGTAGGAAGGGCCCATACCTATACATGTCACACAATAGCACTTGGCAAAATAATCTAGACACACCATGTATTAGCTTATGTTGCAGTCAGTATATGTTGATTATTTTTGTATGTTGCATTAACCACATCTTAGTTCTGTTATATTCTATGTACACCATGTATATCATACATTATGTATATCAAATAGCCACAGCTACAACCACACAGCAATGCCATTTGTCCTGAACAGACCAGTGTGTATTATTTAGCAACATTTATAGGGGTGGAGAAAAAAAATCAATTAATGTGAGAATATTCTACAATTCTGAATTAACATCTTCCAAAAAAGATTTTTTCCATCTTGAGTTAAAGTTTCAACTTTCTCCTCACTGCTGGCAAACTTTGCACCCTTATGGGCTTCTCCCAGCGCAGTCAAGCTACTGACGAGTCAATCACTGCTAATGTTTGCTCTTGGAGTTAGTAGCCTATTAAAAATAGAGCAGCAAGAAATTCAGCCAGTCTGGTCTTTATTGAAGGCAAGCATTTGGCCGCTCTTTGGATTCTACAATCTCCCGGGAAAGAAACAGCATGACATGACTCATTCAATATGCAAGCCCTGTGTACTGAATCGAGAATCAATTTTTGAATCAGGACTTGATTTTGAGTCAAATTGTGACCCCAACAATTGAAACTGAATTTGGTATACCGACAGATTAACACCTAAGGCATTTAGCAGTGTAGTGATTCTGATTTAGATTTATTGAACTGATACACTGACAACACAGCGCATCTCCGTCAGGGCTACTTAAAACCGTGCTGTGGATCAGTTTTTTCCTCCGGAAAGCTATAAAGAAATAGTACATTTCCAGGCAATGTTTCAACACTGTTGTGTGTTGAGTACCATAGTTTAGTTTGTTAGGTGATATGTTCCAGAAGATTTCTTGTCCCTGTTACATATTAACTATGATGTGAACATAATGCCTTTTTATCTTTCATAAAGGCTCATGTTACTGTACATGTGTAGGCTTCATCTTCAGTATCTGGATGTTTTTTCCTCCAGAGTCCTCCAAATCATGTTATCCCCTGCCCAGGGGAGATCTACATCTACAGCCCACTGGGTACAGCTTTCAAGGTGACAGGCAGTGACCAGTCCTCCAAAAACCCCAGTATCATCACCATGTAAGCCCTGTCATCATCAGTCAGTAACCCAACCTGCGCTAAATGTTCTATTCTTACAACTGTCTGGCTGCTTTGATTATTACCTTACTTTTATCTCCTCGCAGTTTTGCCATATGGAACACAATGATGGGCACATCCATACTCAGCATACCTTGGGGTATAAAGCAGGTGATTTGCTTTATTCCCTGTACTTCAAGTCCTTGGCTTCCTCAAAGCCACATCTAAAATGACTAGTTTTGTATTTACCTCAGTTGTTTAAAGTTGCAGTATGGATGCACTTTAAATTTGCAGTACAGAACAAAAACTGAAAACGTAATACTCCGTGTTGTCTTTATCTCTTCAGGCTGGTTTCACTCTGGGGATCCTCATCCTCATCTTCACAGGCCTGCTGATGCTCTACTGTTGTTACGTTGTCCTCAAATCACCAAAGGCAATACGTAAGTAACAACACACTGGTTTAGAATATATTATTCTGCTAATGTTGCATATAAGTTATTATAATTGAGTATTAATTTGATGTAATAAACTGGAATTCTTCTTGCAACTCTGGTACAAACCAGCTTGTGTCAATAGAATATTAAGTGGTATTTTCTGAACTATAGTACAGCAATCTCCTATTTATTTTTTCTGACAATTTCAGATCATTTTAATTCTTCAAACAAGAGAAACAGCACTGGGAAGCGGTGGAATTATATCACTTATTAGCAGAATAATATATTTACAGTGTACATTTATATTCCAAACAGGAAGGGACATATGTTTTTTTTTTGCCACCCATTGACCTTTTACAAAGCTCTTGTATGAGGCTTTGCTTTAGATTCTGTTATTCAACTGTTGTGTCAGCTATACAGTTAAGTGATGCTTGTGAAAGTAACAGCTAAGTGGAGATATAATTAGTCATTGTAAGTCAGCCCTCTGCTAAGTGCTTTATTATTTTTTGGGGTCTGACGGGGTTGGTTTTGTCAGTTTTTTTTATTATTAGGGGTCAAAGCACCAATGGTGGAACCCTATTGCATTTGCTTTGTTTTTCATTAGTGTACAATCAATATAGGAATTGTTGTTGTGTTTTTGTATGTTAGAATGAGCCATTTTTATCTACAGACACCCAGGTTGCCTTTCATGGAGTTTATTACACTTAAGATTACTTAAGATCATGTCCTTCTGCACATAATACTATGCATCAACACTTGTGAATGAGGGGCAACACAAAGATTATATTTAGCTCAGACTTGCACTCCCTGACCCTTGTCCGAGGCTGGAACCGATCTTGGTACTATGCACTGCAGTTGGGAGTCTCAGCTTGGCCAAGCTTACAAACGCATGCATATTAAAACAGCTGTTTTTACCTTATTCAGTGACGACCTTGTCCACTTGAGCACCCAGAGAACGATGTGCTTAAATTTGCATCAGGTTCTTGGACCTGCTTGCAGGTTGTGTTGTTTTGTGATAACATATTTTCCTACTCCAAATTACCAATTAATTATTCTTTCATTAAAAGAAGATTTTTCCTGAATAACCTCTAGTAGATTTTTGATGAGTGTCTGTTGTCTGTTCCCACAGAGGAGTGGCCCCTTAAGCATGTACTTGCCAGCCATACCTCACAGCACCATGCACATTGACAAAGTCTGACAGACGCAACAGTTCTTATAATTTGATCTCACTGTAGCTAAAATTCTTTTGATTTTCCTCACTCCCCAGCACATATACATTTCAGAAACATATAAGCACATGTGAGCTGTGTTTTACAAACAAACAGTAAATTTCCCCAATTTTTTTTTTAATTTTAAAAGTCAGATGGCAATGCTTTCTGTCTTTCTGAGTGTTACTTAGCAGAGAAGCTTGGAAATCTCATCATCCCGTGGCGGAGCTAGAATTTTATACAATGGGTGGCCAGGGCAAGGATTTATGAGAGGGTCCATACACTAATAAAGGAAATTATTGTGTTACTCCAACCTGGTCCCAAATGAACCCCAAATGAACCTTTTTTAGACCATTTTCATAACCCAGATGCATCTCTCTACCTCTCACTCTCTCTCACACACACACACACACACACACACTCTGTGTCACTAACTGGAAATATTTTTATACACAGAAGACAAGTGAGTGAAATGCTTTGGAGAGTTTATTTACCAAAAAAAAAGTGTTACACAGTATGTGCCTATACAAAACCAAACTTTTTTACTTTTACATCAACTTTTAAACAAGCAATTTGACATGACAGGTAGGGTTTCAACTTGAGCAGGACTCTGCATACAGTAAATGACAAATTATCTGCCTTTATATTAGGTCTACATAGAACGTAGTGCATCATGACAACAAACACCACCTAGTGGTAGGTATAGAACAAAGTGCAAAATTTAGAGTAATCATGACCATAGTACCAAGTGGCCTATTCTGAGGTATGAGTAGAACATAGTGCAAAGTTTAGAGTAATCATGGCCATAGCACCAAGTGGCCTATTTTGAGGTATAAGTAGAAAATAGTGCAAAGTTTAGGCTAAAAATGACCATACCCCCAAGTGGCAAATTATCTTTGAATAACACCAGCATGTGCGAAACTATCTTAGGATAGATTCAGAGCAGCATAATTCTTTGGTTCTGGTGAGAACGGGCAAAATCATCATCATCCATGTTGAGGGTACATGCTTTCCTTGATTCAACACTGAGAATGCCAAAGTGACTTAACCTGTCACCAACCATTGTTGTCTTGAGGTGGTTTTTAATCAGTTTAAGTGTAGAGAAACTTCCCTCACAGGACGCTGTACTGACTTATACTGATTTGTTGAATAAGAAATCCTCTGGAGAAGCCACCTGGTTTGGTGAACCTCATGCTTGAGGTCTTCTAAATCTGACTCAAAAGTCTGTGCAAAGGCAAACAGAGGCTCCTGTTTCAAGAATGTTGCACTCTTTGGGTCAAGGGACTGCATCCCCTTGCATGTAGATGTAACCAGGTTGTCTTATTTTGTATAGGGACAGATAACAATAAAGAGAGAGGGAGATATTCTTCGTCGGAAATATCTCCCTTTCTCTTTATTGTTATCAGAATCAGATTTATTGCCAAGTAGGTTTTTACACATACGAGGAATTTGTCTTGGTGCAATGGTGCTTAAAATATACAATCTTATCAACAATATTATCTGTCCCTATACAAAATAAGACAACCTGGTTACATCTCAAGATTGTGTTAGGCAGACTCCTGAACTATTTTTTCCCTTTCTCATGCTGTAACTTACATTAAAATCAACTACTAGCCGAGTAAAACTGGATCATCTAGGCTAATCGTTACTAAGTACCTGGTTTTAGACCTTGACAATAGCAAAAGTGTTTCATAGACATAGAGATCGTCTCAGAGCATTCATTACAGTTTATTTTAAATTCTGGTATGAAATTGCATTGAGTTGATTTTGTTTGAACTGAGTTGATATAAGGTATCCACATTTACTGAAAGCTAAGTAATGGCATCACATTATCCTTAAAACAATTCTAGTGGTACATAGCTTCAAGCTAACATTAGCTTATAGCCTTTCATAACAACAGCTACCCTACTCGTGCAGTTGATCTAATGGGGACAAAATATCTACTCCTCTAGCTTGTCAAAAGTGTGATAACTATCTATAACTATTCATCTGGAAACTACATTAAAACTTACTTGAGAATGAGGTATTTCCTGAAAGTAGGTTCTGTTGATCTTGACGTTTACTCTGCCATCAACACGCTTGCCTCTTCTTCCGTTTTTTTCCAAACGCACGTATTGACCTGTCAATTAACTGGGGTGGCAGCTGGGGTGTCCAATTGGATTCCCATATGTTTTTATGTCCATATGCTTGACTTTATATGAAAGAACCGATATTAACTGATCTGATATTGTCTGTGCTCTGTTCAGCCTATGTGGATACATCCGACTGGGAATTCCCTGATGTTTGTAGGTACTACTTCGGCAAGTTTGGCCAGTGGTCCAGCTTGTTCTTCTCGATGGTGTCACTTATTGGAGCCATGGTGGTTTACTGGGTCCTTATGTCCAATTTCCTCTTCAACACAGGACAGTTTATCCACAGTAAGTCTCTTGTCTGATGTGGGTTGACCTTAAGGAATAGCCAAATGAGCATTTAACAGTGTGAAACATTTAGAAGGATCTATTGTCAGAAATTAAATTAAACATTCATAGGTATGTTTTCATTCATAATTACCTGAAATAACAATAGTTGTGTTTTCGTTACCTTACTGAGTCCTCTATGTTGAACAGCCTTGCCTGACTGTTTCTACAGTATCCCAGAATGGACTAACCCAACACTGGCTCTAGATAGGGCCTTTCACATTTTTTGCAAGTTTCACAGCCACAGTAGTTTCTCCTATACGCTTTAAAACCGAGCAGTGTCCAGTTAGTTGCAATCTGACACTAGACTCTTCACCACTAGATGCCATTAAATCCCACTCACTGGTCCTTTAATTCCAAAGTCTACCTCGAGATGTGCTCACAACTAGCTGTGTTTCCATCAATGTATTTTTATGCACACTTTGAAGTATCAGAAAAGGTTGATGGAAACAGCAAATAAAAAAAAATATAAAGACCTAAGACTTTTACAGTCTTTAACAAAAAAAGACTTTTACAAAAAAGCTGTAAGACTGTAAAAGAAGAGGTGGTTTTTGCTGTTGTTAAAAATAATGTAGTAGTAATGTAGTAGTAATGTAGTAATGGAACTACACAATCAGTATTGACAACCTCTTGACCTTTCAAGTGCTGTGGGCTGTGATGTTTACTCTGTAGAGCATATACCAGGAGTATGGATGGGTGGTTCTGCCGAGAAAGTAAAATTGTAGTATTGAGATAACAGATCAGAACACCTGCTTATGGTTTTTGTGCAGAGAGATGGTAAATCATTAGTGGCTCTACCTCTTAAATATGCAAGAAAAGCTCATGCTTTGAGCTGATGTGTTTCTTTCCTGTCTATAGACTATGCATACAATGTCAACATGTCAGATTCGGAGTTTGGAACCAATGGCTCTGATAGAGGTAAGTCACTTCACTTCACTGACAGAAGTATTGGTGTATATGTGATTTGATGTGTGCTGATATGATTTTGATATCATTCTAGTATATAATGCAGAATTAAATGCTTGTAGTATATCCGTGTCACTGTAAAGTTAATCTAGCAAGAGTGTGCTGTGATTTACTTTACTGTGGCAATTGGTCAACAAAGTATGAATTAAATAATGTGAAAGAATATTTAACTGAAATATAAATTAATAAAGTTGTTTGTTTAAGAAAACAGAGGGAAAACCTGAACAGGCACACGTTGGTGGTATGCGACACTACTACTGCCTCTGGTTGATGATGCTTTGTTGATTTGTTCACCAGTCATCTGTCCATACCCAAACACTGACCCCGGAGGCAACTTCACCATCAGCACACATTACCTCGATAACAGTGGAAATGATACTTCTGATGTCGGCTCTTTTGAACGCTGGTGGAGCAAAACTAACACCATCCCCTTCTACCTGATCATCCTGCTGCTGCCACTGCTCTGCTTTCATTCAGCCTCCTTCTTCGCAAGGTTCACCTTCCTCGGTAAGATAGAACAAGAGCAATGATATGAACAGCAGAAGTGGGTAGCAGTGTTTGTGGAAAGTCAAAAGGCTTGGACATTGCCTTCAAAAAAAAAAGAAAAAGCAAGCCAGTGTGCCACCAGAATTTCGTTTGTTTGAAACATCAGCAGTGACCTGGGGGGACATCGGTATGATTCTTTAGATCTTTGATTGTCTTTGAATCCTAAAAGATTAAAGTGGCAGGTTGTTGCCAGTTTTGTATTTGTGACTGAAACATCTGACTCTAAATTATAAACAAGTTGTATGTTCCAGACAGCAGGTTTAGTGAGAACTGTTTGTTAACCCTGAGTGTGATGGGAAACTTAGTTTTCAGTTCCAGTAACAGAGATGATTTTAACTGTGGTGATGTACGCTGTGAACCTTAGCCGCTCGCTGGCAGCTTTCTCTTCTTTTTCCTTTCTCTTATTCAGTCGATAAATAAAAGTGCAGTAATTTGACGTTTACGTTGGCTGAGGGAGATCAAAATCTCAGTTGTTATTTTTAACAGCAACCTGTAAAAAATCTTAAATGTTAAATGTTATTAATAGCTCAGAATAAAAGGTTCTGAATTTTTGAGAAAATCTTTTGTTGCCAACCAGACCCCCTTGCACTGAAGCATTTACTGCACATTCACAGAGTTTTTAATCTCAGGGTTTGTCAACTCAGAGTTCAGGTTTACGTCAGACTTTCTTTCTGGAACAGGCATTGTGTCTCCATTCATCCATCTACTGTTTCACCATTCCATCTTGTCCAGGCACCATATCAGTGGTCTACCTGATTGCACTGGTCACTGTTAAAGCTGTCCACCTTGGGTTCCATCTAGAGTTCCACTGGTTTGACACAACCCAGGTCTATGTTCCAGGTAAACTTCCTGCAGATTTGAATGCATCCCTATGTATCTCTCCACAGCAGAACACCATTAACATCTGTGAGGTGTATAAGTCCAATTTAGACAGTGCCACTGATAAATATGCTGAACTGCTTTATGACAGTAGTTTTGTGGTAAAATGGTAAATGGACCT